GATACGGGCCTTCGAATGTTGCGCACGAATTTACGTAACTCAGGGGCGAGATCATCCTTTCCTTTCGTACTAAGTACACCAATAGGGTAAACGGTTTCCAGTCCTCCTAGTATTATATCCTCTCGAAAAGTGCAATAACTTCGAAGCGTTCCGTGGGTCCCGCGGAATTTCTGTCAAGGATTAGAATTGCCCGGCGAATGGATCATACGTGATTTCTCGCCGCGCCATGGCATTGGTTCATAGTGATCATTGGGGACGAAAATGCCTATATAGTACTTCTTTCTCGTGTTAGAAGGTAACGTGAATCCCGATGCTCCCACAATGTTCCTCTGGACCCTTGTCAAAATCAAAAGAATCTACAACGAATTTGTGTAAATAATAAACATTTAATAAAACTAATAATTGTAAGGTGTTCCTCTCAATAGTCCTTCGATCCATACGATCTTTCTAAGCGAATCTTCTTCATATCGCTACAGATCAAAATGATTCATAGTTTCATATATATAATAATATATAACTTTACGGTATAGCTCGGACCTTATGCGATATCAATCAGGGATTTGAAATCTTCTCTGTCGATTGAGATAATTAGGTTATTCAAAAACGCAGTATATGTATACCTGTTAAAGAGAAAAAAATACTTTTTTTACATGTCGAAAAAGGTACATATTATCTGAAAGTACTGCATTTTTAAAGTACTATCCTAAAATTTTAACTAAAAAAGTCAAAAAATAAAGAAGGCATGTGAGTACTTTATTTTATGCTACATTTTACTTTTACATCTTCAAACATTTTTTTAACATGTTATTTGGTTCGTAACGTTATCTTTAATAAAATACATTCTATAATGTTCAAAATATATTCCATATTTTTTTTTTTAGTATCAGACGGGTAATTTTAGAATGATAGCATCAGTTGGTCAATTTGGTCCAGTGTGATACTTTACAAAAATGTGACAATGAAGGATTAGATTACAAATATGTGCCTTGGAAAAAACTTTTTTTTAGAACTCTTCATATAATTTCAGAATTTTCATATAAATTTCAGAATTTTTCAGATTTTTCGTATAATTTTTTAACTTTTTAGAAAATTTCTTAGATTTCTTTATACATTTTTCAGAAATGCTGAAAAAGTCTGTATCTTTTCTAAAAATTTTCATATATGGAAGGTGACCGGGACACCAGAAACCATAAAAATTTAAACTCTCAAAAATACATTTTATTTACTATTTTATTATTCGTGTGGCGATATTAAGCTCGAAACATAATAAAGTCCATTTGGAAGCAAATTTAAAACTATTAATTCATGTGTAAATTGTAAGTTTCAACGTAGGTAATGAAATTTCATGCATTAAAAATTTTATTTACGCATTAATTCGATGCATGACTCTTGTATATCCTTAATGACTCTACTTATTACTTCTCATTCTATAATTTTTGAAGAAAATTTATAAAATCTGAGAAGTTCAAGATATTTTTTTAGAAATCTTCATAAATTTAAAATATGACAAAATTCTCAAAAATTTGGTGGACATGCAATGTCTCGAGAAAAATTTACCGAAAGTTTCTACAAAGTTGAGATGACATATTGAGATGACCAAAATTTAAGACGTGCGACATTATTCCGAAGAGTTATTATTGTTCTAAAAATTGTATCTAACAAACTAAAATGAAAATTCAAAAGAAGAGATAATATCCCAGAGAAAAATACAATCGTAAGATCAATAATAAATCTTTTCGGTATTTTTTCTCGAGGAGGAAAATCTCGAAATTATAAAAAGAAAATATAGAAAAAAAAATAACAAAAATAACATCAGAGTTTATAATGGTTGCATACAACAGGATTTTTTTAATATTCGATATTTTTTAATATTCGACTGCGATTAGAATTGTTTAAGGATTAACGTAATTCATCGATTAATTACAAAGATTTAGAGCAAATAAATATTTTGTTTATTTACAAAACTACTACTCTCTACAGCGCAATGTAACTTTGTATAAATCATCTTAAATACTAAAAGTACTTGTATTAAAAAATTGAGAATTAATTTTGTCATTATTTTATTAAACATTTCTAGACATTTTCATTAGAGCACAGATAAAAAAATACTAATTCTTGTTGAAATAACTTTCGATCCAGATGGTAAACCGTTGATAAATTTTTGTATTACTTTTAAGGGGATGCTGACGTACGAAACTGTCGATATCACAGGTTAGAAAACGTAGAATAGAAAATCCATTTACATGCTTAAAGTGTGTACACAGAAATAAATAAAGAATACTTATCTTAACCTTAAAAACGGAATTTTAAAAATATACATATATATATATTAAAATATATTTTGTGACATTGTATCGATTTTTAGATTTCGTAGTTATGACTTTTCGGGACATTGAATATGTCCACCAAAATATTGAGATGTAGGAATTTTTCTCACCACAATGATTATCCTGGCAAAAATAAAAATTGCAGTGTAAATTAAATGTAAGGAGAAAACGATGAAAATGTAAATGAAACTTTTAGGAAGTGTAAATTGGAACTTAAAGTGTTTTAAGAAGTAAACTTTTCTTCTTTCTCTCTTTACGTTTTCAATTTACATTTCTAAATTTCGCCTTATATTCAATTCACGTTTCAATCATTATTTCCGCCACGATAAAACAAGGAACGGAAGTGTTTCGAATGTCACAAACAAATAATCAAACGCAAATTATCAAACGCGAGTGTCTTCTTTCTTTATTGAATTATATATATATAATTCGTTTTTTGAAAATATGATATAATATATATATATATATAATATATATATGTATATAGTATAACAAGAAATATAATTAGACTCATATGACTTCTATATCAAATTTCTTTTCGGCTCTCTATGATGTGCATTTCGGATGAGTAATAGCTTTTTATTAACGCCACAGAATTGTCAATTACTCAACCTTTCCCTTCTCTCGTTTGCCCTCTCGTTACTATAGATTATATTTATACACAGATAATTCAGGTTCAATTTTCTTTCTTTTTTTTTTTTTCATCAATCACTCTTCCTCAACTTCTCTCGTTAACCTTTCTCTTAACTAGGATTATACGTAGCTTAATGCGTTGAAACTCTCCCCATGTAGCCGAACAAATCGATGGACATATCCGTTTTCACAGGAGAACCTACTTCGTAATAAATATAAATATATATTTATATATCTTCCTAAATACTTGTACGAATGCATTATGCTTGTCCGACATCTGGAGAAGTGGCGAATGACGCAAGTCATCGCTCTTTGTCGCTGTAAATTAGCAAAACGAGAGAGAACGCGATCACGGTGAAGTACGTTGTCTAAGCGCGGAGGCACAGCCACTAATTTGTCTTACAGTACCGATTACCGATTGCGCTATATTATGATGCGCAAAAAGTAATACATGTCTGGATATATCGGTACATACTCGCAACTTGTCCGCGTTATCTACATAATTTTCAAAACCGGTCTCATCGACGTAGTTCAAGAATACGATCGATTAAATCTCCTTGTCCGCATACCGCAACTAAAGTTGATATGGATAGAGAATCAATTAAATTAATGTTAACCTTACATTACTCGCGTGTAAAATACATCCTAGTCTTAAAAATCTACCAAACCTACAGAGTTAAATTTTACAATTGATCGAATACTGCACCAATTGTTCGACAATTAAAAAAAAACTTTTGCACTTATCTTTATCTAAAAAAAGATATATATGGAATATGACTAATCTCTTTAATTGTATTAAATCGTCAAAGAGAACAATGAAAATTAACAACAAGTATCAATATTTGTACAATATAATATTTGTAAATCTATAAAATCAATAAAATATTAATAAACTTTGTTTTATTAACAAAAACGTGTCGAAAAAATAACAAAAAATCTAACCTTTTCTCAAATAAGTTTTTTACTTAAAATTTGTGATTTTTTTTTTATACGAAACGAGATTCATACAGAAGAGGCACTAAACATGTGATAATATATATACCTTACCTTTCTTTCCCGATCGTTCGGATGGGCTCTACAATGTCAACGGCAAACCATGGTCACACGAAACGCCTCGAGCATGATGCATATTTGCGCCATGGTCTCGAGCAAATGTTAATAATAAAATTTTTGGAAAAAATTACTTAATAAAATTACTATATTAAATATATTAAAATGGGTATGTGCTCCTAAAATTTATCGGAGTTACTATTTTTTTGAACAAAAATTCTAAGTTTGTCCCATTTCTGAGCGCTATAAATCAAGATCTCTCCTTAATAATAATGCTAATTAGCATCCTAAAAACTTGTAAATAACTTATTACGAAAAATATTCTGATTGAGATGAGTTAGGTTTTTAAGATACTAATCAGTATTATCAGATATTAAATAAAATTGATAATTGTATATATATTTACACATGAATATTACTGAGCATCAAAACTTGCTTCGGCCGAAAATGGCATTCTTGTCTTATTTAAATTTATTTCACTTAATATTGCTTTGCACTTATCTTTATCAAATGATATATGAAATATTATCAACTTTTAATTGTAAATCATCAAAGAGTACAATGAAAATTGAGATTTAATGCCGAGGTGTACACTCCATGCGAGTAATTACGTTAAAAAAAAGTTCACGCAAATAATGTAAGGTTACATTCCCCATAGCAAAAAATGTCACAGTTACATCACAATAATCATGGTTATGTCATGGTGACGTGCGAATGTCCGCTTTATCACAATGTAATATCACGGCAATGTCATGGTGATGTGCGAATGTCTTTATAATATGTGTTATTTTGTTATGACAATCTCACAGTGACATCATATTTTCTTCCTGACTTATTATGATGCGAATGTGACTCTTTACTATTGCAATTTTTTGCAAAAATTAATTTCTCATCGTCCTGCAATTTATCAACCTCAACGATAAAATTTTGAATGAGAACAATACAGAAATATATATTTCGGATTTAAAATTCAGAATGTTAGTTCACTACCGGCTAGTCTTATCTCTATATCACGATTCTATTTAATTGCAGAACAGAAAAACTCATTCGTCAATCCTTTTATCAATACCCTGATTCTGTAAATCTTAATAACAATTCGGTATTGTTATATTATCGTAGCAGATTTTTTTTTCCCATGTACGCAACAAAAATATATCAACACTGTAGATAAGAGTTAAGAGTTACAGAATCTTAATATAGGATGCTAATCGACGCGACCGGTCTCTTGTCAAGAATTAAGTGTCACGTTCACCGTAGTTCTCGTTCGCTTTGCAGTCTAATTGTCTAAACATAAGCAACTGTGATAAAAAGATACGCTTAATGGTAAGATACGTTGCTTTTTGTATCGCTAAAGTAACTCCATTTTCACGTCGTTCTAACACACATATCTCGTGTTCTTATCGGGAAGTAGCGAAAAACACAGATCGCGATATTTCTCGCTATTTCTCGCAAATCACACACTCTGTCGCGTCTCTACTATACTATACAACAAATAAGAAAACAAACAATTTTCTGCTGCGATTCTTGTTACGCAGAACAACGATTCGATTATCATTAAAAGGACGCTCAAATCAACGGAAGGACTCCGCCAAACAGTCAGAGGAAAGAAAGAGAGAGAAAGATAAAGATGGTATATTCTTTTGTGCGAACATCGATATTGCAACTCGCATCTAAACCTTTTCGTATTTTAGATATCGCGATGATTCCCTATACTCTCTTTCTGTCCTGTCTTCTTCCACCGATTTATTGCTCGTCGTTGTCCATCATCTTACATCGCATTACAAAAATAGTAGGGTATACGAATGTGTGAGGTCTCGCAAACTTATATTAACCCGTTCTCTTGAAGAATTGCTCGTATTCGATTGTGAGATGGCTGTGTTAAGTGTTTGCCTTTTTTCCGTCTCTTCGTGGAATTTCTAAAATAAACGAAGAGGAAATTACAAAGCCACTTGAGAGCGATGGTAATGAAAAATTCGTCATATCTGCTATATATACAATAACCCAATCCTTGTTTTTCAATAGATTAAAATCCGAGGTAGACGTCGATGAGAATAACGCACGTCGCCAGTATGGTCGAATCGACGTAACAAAGTTAAAAATAGTTGCGAAAATCTTTCGCTATAACATGAATTAAATAAATTCCAAATGTGAATAATAATAATTTCAATGTGAAATATAAAACAATCTAAAAATATTTTATAATATCCATTTCTACTAATGCAAAATTAATTTTTATTCTTGATTTAAGGATATAATACACTTATCTTTTAATAAAAAAAATTATTTCAAATGGATTTTGTTAAAAAATAATTAAGATAAAGTAAGAAAAATATGTTTCATTTAAACTATAAAACTGTATTGTTAAATAATAAGGTAAATATAGATATTGACCTTATTATTAAACTGCTTTATATAACATTTATTTTTATATATAAAAAAGTATAAATTATCAATTCCAATCATTTTTTGTAGAGACTATACATCCTTAAGTTCCTTTTCACTTTTTTTTATTCTAAGAATTAAAAAAGATAAAAAATAAGTTAACCAAGATTAAAATTAATCTACATTCGTAGAAATGGACATAAATCTTATAAGAATTAAAAAAATTTTCACTGGACAGTCGTACGATGGCACGATGTCAAACAGATACGCGCTAAATCGGCTAAATAAACAAAAAAATGAAGAAAGTAAATACGACGTTGTTTGCACGATTTTCACGTGACTTTCGCCGAAATCTGTTGGAAAAGAGAGAAGCGGCAATCCTAATGCAACAAATGCAAGCTCATGCGACGCTGATATATAATAGTTGCTTTCCATTTATTAAAACACTAATTATCAAAACTTTGATAATTTTCTCTTTCATTTATGACGTCATAACTCAATTGAATTCCTTTTCAGATAAGTGAGACTGATTCAACTGAGTTTTTACCTATAGCTTACTCAAGATGTGTTTCACTGAACCTTGTTAACATTAAAAGTAAAATTATAATTATAAACCTGTGCGTTGTTAAACGCGATGACTTTGTCATCGAAGTAAGTAGTAACGTCATTATCTAAGTATAAAATACACAGCTTGAACAATTACAAAAACAGTATATATAGACACAACTTTAAACTTAGTATCACTTGTGAGATAATGGAAAGCAACTATTATACGCCCATGTGTCATACCCTGATACGGTTTCTCCCACGTCCCCCTCTCTCCTTCACGCTCTCCTGGTTCCGCGTAAAGATACTGTTAGTAGATCACATGGATTTGAATGTACGAAATACGCGGTGCCGCAAGGTGTGAATGATACGTGACGGCGATCCTGCAAGGTGAGGTGAGTTCATTTGTATCTCTTCACCTATCATCATTATTATCTTAGAGATGCGTGAATTGCTTTTCTGCTTAATAGATACAATTATGCTTCTTTTTCTTTAACTCACTACAATGACATTAGGTACAATTAAATACTATGCTTGTGCGCCCATATACACACACACACACACACACACACACGCACATGCACGCACACACAAAGCAGACACAGATCTCTTTACTCAAAGTGTTTTGTGGTACCTGCATCTTCTTCGCTTTTTATATTCATATTTGGATTTCTTGTCTTTCTTTCTCTTCTTAGCCTATAACGGGACCTGCCACACCTTCTCACGGAGAAAAAGTAGTGTCATCTTCGCGTTAATGGCTAAATAGATGAATTCCCCGATGTACATCGCATGCACATTCTCGCTTTTTTTTTTTTTTTTTGGACTCTATCATAAAAAGATAGGCACACCTTCACCTACGTTTCTGAAGTACAATCACCGTAAGCGAAGCTTCTGGATGGATTCTACTTGTTTTCACGGAGCAACGCGGACACTTTTCGCGGTTTTCGCGATCATAATCTACGGTAGAAAGGTAAGGGGATCCTAAAGTGAAGCCCGAACTCCGACGAGACCTGTTTGTTAAGAGAGACTGTTTTACCGATAAAGTCGACACTTTATATATAACAACAATTAATATTGCACGCACACACATACAAAAATTTTCGTAGAACAATAGTGTTTTAATTAGACGATCTAAGTATAACTCTAAGAACTTCACGTTGTTCGTTCGTGTACAACTAGTTTATGAATCACAATTTCGTAAGTACAGATTACAAAATTTTTATATCAAGGAAATGTTACGAATGTCAACAGCTCTGACGCCATATTGGATTAGAAAATGATAAACAATTTTTTTCTTAGCATAAACTCTACCTCACAGTTAATACGTGTACTTTAATCCCGGAAAAGAATTTTCGAATCTATAAAAAAGAAAAAAAAGTAATTTTTATACAAAAATTATTGCGTTTAAATTATTGCGTGAAATAAACGACTTTTTAGGATCCCCTTAACAGTCGATTTTTTTTTTCCTTTACGAAACTATTCTACTTGCTTTGTAAGAGTGGAAGTTTTAATTCATGTTTTATGTGTAAAATGATGTGTCATACATAATAACGTAGTCGCGCGAGATCTGCCCGCGCTGATCCGTCTAGTTTTCACAGACGGAGATGTTTTTAAGTCTCTGTTTATTCCTGCACTTTCTAAACTGATGCACACGGTACAATAAGTTGAAGTGAAACAAACGTTTCTTCAACAAACTTCATTGTATCGTATGTAACAGTTCGGAAAATGCAGGAATAAAAAACAGACCTATTAATTGCCGCGTGTCACCATCACTCCTATCAATGTAGTACATATATATCGCCATATATCATATACATATATATCGCATATGCCTCTATTTCGTTGGAACAAGTATGCAAAAAGAATACATCTGTCATATAATACGCACGCACGCACGCATGCACACATACACACAACGTGACGGAAAAATATTAGTACTCTGAGATATCTCGAAAAATATAGGTTTCATAAATTTCAGATAAAAAAATTGTAGGGTTTATCTTGTATAGTAAAGGTCTGTTTACCACATAAAAAGATCTCATGATAACATTTGTCAAGATCATGGCCTTTAAGTTATTCCTCTCAAATTCATTTGTACACTAAAAATAAAAATAAGAGAAAATTAAGAGAAATAACCTTATGAATTATCTTCTTAATGAAAAAAATATTTTGTTATGTGTTTTAAAGAGCTCTTGAGATAAGATACAAAATTATGCAATGATAAATGAGTTTCCCTTAAAAAAAAAATCGATATAATCTTGACTTAACCTTGGCAATAATATCTCAAGGTCAAACTGGTAAGATCGGTATATAAATAGATCTTCTCAAATCCTACAACTTATCTCAAATAGTTTTCTATGGAACTTATATTTTTTATTTTGAGATATTTCAAGATCCCAGTATTTTTTTCTAATCATGTGTGTGCGTGCGTGCGTGCGTGCGTGCGTGCGTGCGTGCGTGTGTGTGCGTGTGTGCGTGCGTGCGTGCGTGCGTGCGTGCGTGTGTGTGCGTGTGTGTATTATATATTATATACATTGTTGAAAATTTAAAATTTTATAAGCTATTACCTCTTATTCGTCAAACCAAAAATTTGTTTAGACAAAAGTTGTATACAAGGCGAGTTTGATAAAAAGTTTACTATGTTTTTTTCGAAAATAATTAAATATAGAGAGAATATATCTATTAGTAAAATTGTAGGACAAATAGGGAGATATGCTTTGATGACATTGAGAAATCTTAAATGTCTTTGTCTTTTTACAATAAAAACAAATTCTTTTAAATTAATATTTCTAAGTCACTCTATCGACAGTACTCAATAAATTGAATGTTTTTGTATCAGTGAAGGATCGAAACGCTTATTTGATTCATCTTGTTACATTCACGCGAGAATAAAGAGTTTTCTGTACATCCGAACAGTTGATATAGACTCTGATGAGCTTTTATATTTTTTACTGATAGATTCTTTCGAGCCTCATTTTATATATTTGTTAATCTTCATTATGTAATAAATGTTCAAAATGTTTATAAATGTTAATTTAAATCTAATTTTTGAATCATGGTCGAAGAAAGAATCATCTTTAATGTCTTATCAATGATAGAAGAAATAAAAATATTTTTCGGAAAATAACGATTCAAGAGTTACAAAAAATCCAAGCTTTTCACGAAGAGATATTTAAATCAACATGGTGAACATTTGAAACATTTATTGTAATAATAAGAAAATTTGTTTCAAACTTACAGTCTGACTTTTTTTAGTTCCTAAAAATAATTATATAATAATTTTTTAAAAAATGCTCTAACATAAAGATATTCAACTCATTACTATCGATATAATAATATAAAAATATTTTTTTTCCTCCATTAAAAAAAACTTTTTTATTGGTAGTAGAAAGATCACATTTAAATCTAATTAAATACAAAAAATACCTACATATTTTTGGTTAAAGCGAATCTTAGTGTTTAAATATAATTATATATATGTGAATTTATATACATTTTAATTCAAGGTCATTTAAAGTTACTAAAATAATCAAAGTACATCCCATTATTTATTCTACAATTTTAATAAGTATTTTCCCCCTATCTCTAATCGTTTTCGAAAAAAAAAAACGTGGTCAATTTTTTATTAGACTTACCTTATTATATTCATATTTACAGAATATCCAATTAAGATTACAATGCTTAAATTAAATTCCTGAGATCACTTTAACACGAAAATCCTAATACCAAAATACTATAATAGTTTTTGAATTATAAGCATTTAAAGAGAGAGATAGTGAATCATTACTGTCGATATTGTTTACGCGATCAAGTATGAACGGCAAATGTCAACCATATCTAACATGCAAACTTTAACCGATATGATTCGGTAACTTCAAATGCCTTATAATGCAAAAACTATTTTATAGTCTCGATATTTAGAAATTTTATCTTAAAAAAATCTCAGATATTTATCCTTAAGCTTCCTGTAATTATTTACCGAATCAAT